AGTAAAAAATAATAAGTTTTGCATGGCCAACGACTATTTTATATTAATAAAATAAAAGTACGACTCTTACAAAAAAATTTTGTTTCAGTCATTTCTTTCGTTGTTCGCACCATCAGCAGTTCATAAAATCACAAACTCACGGAGACGACCTTCCTTTTTAGGCTACTGCCTCCGTAGTTAAAATGTAAAAAATGATAAAAGCGTCATCTGGTGTTCTTGCCACAATCACAAAATACATTTCAAGTAAAAAATAATAAGTTTTGCATGGCCAACGACTATTTTATATTAATAAAATAAAAGTACGACTCTTACAAAAAAATTTTGTTTCAGTCATTTCTTTCGTTGTTCGCACCATCAGCAGTTCATAAAATCACAAACTCACGGAGACGACCTTCCTTTTTAGGCTACTGCCTCCGTAGTTAAAATGTAAAAAATGATAAATGCGTCCTCTGGTGTTCTTGCCACAATCACATGATACATTTTAAGTAAAAATAATAAGTTTACATGGCCAACGATTATTTAATATTAATATAATAAATATAAATACAACTTTTTACAAAGAAAAATTCTTTGTTTCAGTCATTTTTTCGTTGTTTCCAACACCAACGTCATTTTTTCGTTTTTCGTTCAGTCATTTTATGTTAAGAATTAATTAAAAAATTAAATTAGGCCAGAGTGTGTCGATATAAAACGTAATTACTAAATAGTACAAAATACGCATAATGCTTAGAAATAATTCTTATAACTAAAAGTAATTTCAAGGAAAATTCGGAAAATTTTAAAAACAATTAGCTCAAAATTTACTCAAAAAAATTCTGCATTAAATGAAACAACAGTAAAGATGTTGAGAAAACTTACAGTAGAGACGAAAGTGAAAATATTTTTACTCCTTCTTGATGAAAAAATATTGTTGAATCAATACAATGATAAAGTATATTTTACATCACAAAAATACTAAGTCATGTAGACTGATAGTAAACACGTTTTGCAGTACAATTGTATTGCAGAACTAGTGTAAATGTAAAATTGACGTAAAAATTATAATTAATTTTTAACGGTGCTATTATATCGAAATAACTTATTTTTATGATTGTAACTAAACCGAAATAAAACATTATTAGAAATTTAGTCAATTTTCAGTATGCACCCGAAATGCTCGGATGATTAACGTTTTTTTTAAACTATTTTTCAGGATTACGCTTATTATAAATAATCTGTGTGATAAAAAAGGGCAATAATATTTTATCAGTAGTTCAGTTATTATGAAATGTATGAATGTATCATTGACTGAATTTCATGTTTCAAAAATATTTTTACTGATGCATAAGAAAACAATTTGAACAAATCATTCGTAGTAGTTGTATATAAGTAATTTTTTCTTTTAATACATAGTACACGAAATCAAATACTGTATAAATAACTTTGTATTATAAAAATTAATGCTGAAACCTTTAAGTAGTGGATAAGAAAATTAAAATATTAACATATGCAAAAGCATTTTACACAAAAAGATTGTAGGTATTTGCACGCACATATTCCATAAAAGCTAGTCTAGTATGACCATTATTAATTATATCTTTAATGAATAAAAAAATTCTGTCGCAATATTACTATACAGTAATTAAAATTCTAATATACAAACTATAATTCACACGTAGTAAGTTTTTATCAAAATACTACAAAAAAGATATGAAGTTAACCTGGCATTAGTTAATTAATATATCGCATGAATGAATTCATTAAATTTACATTAAAATTGTTTTCACTATTGTTTTTACAAAGTTGTAATAGTTTTTTTACAATGTAATCCAAAATGAGAAAACATTTTGAAAAATGAAAATCATTCTGATATTTAAAAAAAAAAACAGATTCGATAATATATTATTTGTTATTTATCTATACAAAAAACATCCATTCATACATTAATTGTTATTAATATTTGTACATTTATATCAATAATACAATATAGCGTAAACTGTAAAATGTTATAGTTTTACACTGTTGAAAAATAAATGTAATGAAAAATAAACTCTAAAAATTGTGTAGAACCGACGTTTCCAAAGTTTGGATCGCGACCTCTCGAAATTCGCCAATTGTTTTACCCATTAAAAAAGCCATATTTACATATTATGTTTGTATGTACAGTACAACATAAAATTAGTATGAAATATGTTTTCTTCAGTACTACCTTTTGAAATTTGGGCTCTATATTTGAAACATAAACTGATAAGACTTAAACTTGAAAATTATATATTTCTCAGTCTTAATTTGATGTTCAAAAGAGACTTTCTCTTTGTTAATCCCCTTTGTGCAAAAGAGAGAGAAAAATACACAAAATAGTAGGGAGTAAAAACGTTATATAAACTTAATAGGTTCTGGTATAATTAAAAACATTCATATTTATATTCTTCTGTAAAAACATTGTAATTGAAGTTGTTTGAAATTCCTTATGTAAATGGCCCGAAATTTTATTGCATTCATTGCTGCAAATAATATTGTTAGATGCGAAGGGAATAATTAAATAATTAAATAATTAAAATAAACTTTAATACGATGAAGAAAACATCGAGCTAATGGTCGAGTAAAGAAAATAATAACCAACTGGAAAAACCCACACACATCCTATTTCTCCCAATATAGATAAAACCGATCAAATATCTTTCCATTTTATCAATTATTACTAAGGTTGTAACCCAAACCCTGACTTTAGACACTACCGGCAATTATTTCAGTTTGTATGACAGCTGTTATCAATTTTATCAGGTAAAATGAGTAACAATAGCCTACCATATAGAAAGAGGTAATGAATTCGTTGAAACGTTTGATTTCTGACAATTAACATCAACAACACCCGGAAGCAAATCGAACTTAGACCACATTGCATCAGAATTGTCCCGAAAGTTCCCCTGCGGGACAAGTATAAAAAGGGGTCGCTCCCGAACCTCGGGGCGATCGTCAAAAAGGAAGCCTCCATGGAGGTAACTCTATTCGGACCTCTCCTCATCTATCCGACCGAAGGACCACTGGGGACATGATCGCCACATTATAGAGGGGACACCCTCCACGGTTCGCGATAGTTTCGCCGACGTCGTATGAACAGGACATGACTTATCAGAGGTATTTTAGCCACATAATTTTAAGCTCTCTCTCTATCGCGGGCTTAGTTTTAGTATAGTATAACGCGTAACTACCCTTATGTATCTAAAACTTTTATGTTTTTATAAAATTTTTTATAGTATTTAAGACCTGTGTACCTGTCTTATTCGAGAGAAAGACACCGTATCGACTTATCCACACCAAACTCCCCACTCGATTTAAAGCCCTCCTAAGTTAACAACGTGACTAGTTCTACCAACCCGTTGACGGTAAGTGGGATCAAAAGAATTCGCCGCTTTGTCCTCTCGGTTCTCACAATATATTCGCAAAAAGTCTTATTCTTTTTCCCGTCACAGATGCAAACAATATAGTATATTGTAATGTACTTTCTAATTATTTCGTGTGTTCGACTGTATTTATTTTCTCAAACAGAACGTTAGTGGCTGTGTTTTTTTAATGTGAATATTCTTTCTGAATTATATCTATTAAAATATCAC